CTTGAGCGAGCTCTTAACCAACTGAGCCACTCGGCCGGCCCCAGTATTATTATTTATTTTTTAACTGAGCCATCCTGCCACCTGTTAGCAGCTCGGCGGGAGCTCAGATTGGGCCGGGAATCGAACCGCTAGTTGCTCAGAGATCGCACGCTTGAGCAAACTCTTAACCAACTGAGCCACTCGGCTGGCCCTTGCCTGATTTTTAACGAGCAGGAAACTCTTAGAATCCCAGCCTTTTGCTTCTTAATTTTGAGTTCCATTGGCTGTGTGTATTTTTCCCTTAGTCTGTCTCATGTTTTCTTCCCCTGCTTTTTCTAATATTCAAGCTTGCACTCCGCACAAGGAGGAAATAACTCAGTCTGGGGCTTTATCGTGGCCCCTGCTTTCAGGGACAGAACATAATGACACGTGCCTAATGTTAGTTATTCCAAAGGATTTTGAATTTTGATGTTTTCATTGTTTTATATTTATCTTCTAGTGTTTTTCCATATGCAGACATGGTTTTTATTAAGCCATGGACTTCACAGTACTTTGTATTCAGCTCTTCCCACTTCTAAATGTTTGATGTTTTGTAAGCCTTTATTACTTTTAATAGTATAGTGTGTTTTACAGAGTTAAGTCCCACCACATATTAAATTCTCTCCCTGTCGTTGGAACTCTCTTATAGGCTATTTTCAGATTTTATTATAGATAATTCCATAAGGGATATCATTTTTATATGGTTTCTTGCTCCTGTAGAATATTTTCCTTAGGATAGATTCTCATGAATAGAAGTTAACCTTATTCTGACTCTTGCTGCATATAGTAGATATAAACAAGTTTATTCCATTTGAGCACCTTGTATGGTGAGCTAGCTATATAGAAAATAGTGGCTGTGTTGACTCTGAAGCCAGATAGGAATGGAAGGGGCTTGTCAGAGATTTCCATGTTCAGCAGAATTGGAATTGTACTTGCCCGTTTATGGCTCCTTAACTTTCGTTTCAGTGATTGACATAAAACTGGAAAAGCCACAGGAGCAACCAGTCAGCGAAGGAGGCTGTTCCTGCTAATCCCCCACGGCATCTTCACTTCCCTCTAGACGCTCACTGCTTTGGCCCCCTTACTCTTTCATTGACTGCAGTGTGAATATTGGCTTGAACCTTTTCCCTTCAGTAATAACGTATTGCAATTCATCATTGCTGCCTGTCTCGTGGAGATGATCTATTAGCTTCACAAGCACAAAAAAGTCAGTGTCTTCATCATTTATATTTTACAAAAAGCCAAACAATTCCAGCATATTCCAGTGATAACTTTAAAAATTAGAAACATTTTCTTAACTTTTTTTTCCTTTTTAACGTTACGGTAATGCACTTCAAAATGATGGAAATTGCAAGAATATGTGGCTTGGTTAAGGAACAGTTGTTCACAGCAGCACTTGCCTACCTACTTGATCTCTCCCTACTTTTTTCACCTCTCCCTTACTCCATTTCTTATTACTCTTCGTCCCTCAAAATGAACAAGAGGCGGCAAAGCAGCAGTCAGACCAAGTCCATTGGAATTATCCTTCAATTTTAGTCATACCACTTGCTTTAGGCCTTGGGTGAAGATGTCTGAAACTATTCTTGAGCACTGATATAAATTACGTAGACCTTATTTGAGGTCAGAACTAGCTATCAAGGTAGTAGTCAATGCTTGAATAAGAAAAGTGTTCTGGTACATCTTTAAAATGAGTCCTAATAACCATAATACTTACAAGTAAACGAACACAAAATGTATTTCTGACCAAAACAGGCAACCCTTTCACATGTTAGACCCTGGAAGAGAAAAGTAAAAGTGCTTCAGAGCAGTTTTTTAATATTTAATCCTTCTAATGAGCTATTTCTCCCAAGATTTTAAAATTGTCAAAATAGAGCTATTTTATTTGTTAAAAAGAAAATTTTTTTTTCAGCAATAGATTTTTCTTGGGTTTTTTTTCTTTAAAAAAAAATGCTATGCAGGCAAGGCACTGTAGAAATCAAATTCCTTTAAGAAGAACCAGTGAAAGAATTTAAATTTGATACCTTGATCGAAACTGCTATAACCAGTAGAAATAATGATATCTAAAGCTTACCAACAAAAGAATCCTCAACAGAATAGCAAATACTTGCTCAGGACATTTGAGGTCTAATTGAAAACAGCAAGTTTTCTTACATGCCCCTAGAGGCAGATCTGAAAAAAAAGCATACATAGAAAAGGGAAAGGAGAGAACTGAAATAAAACTCAATATTATGCAGATTTATGCCTTATTTTTTAGATTTTTTTTAAATGTGGGTCTTTCAGGATGGTTTTGCTTTTTATTAGATCTGTATAGTTGATTAATTAGTGATTTAGTTTTATATTTAAGCTACAAGTAATCTCTAGTGATATTTATTTCTTTGCCTTTTTTTAACCACTTTCAATTTTTAGATGTTTTGATCAATCCATTTAGAGCTTCATCACCATGGCAATATGTATTTCCCTTAAAACACTGCAAACAAATATACTAAGAGTGCACCATTTTAATCTTTACTAGTTATTGTGAGATTGCTGTGTAAGTTAATAAACATATTTGTAAATACATTGTTTGCAGGAAGAAAATTTCTGAGTTACAGCTCAGGAAAAGCCTGCTGAATTTATGTTGTAAGCATTACTTAACACAGTATAAAGATGAAAAGACAAAAATATCTTCATACTTCCTCATCCCCTCACTGCAACAGAACCCTTAACTGGGAGAACCTTATTTCCCCTCTTTCCTCTTCCTCCTCCATGCCCCACTTATTGTCACCTTGTAATATTCAGAGAGCACTTGGATTATGGGTCTGAATAGAGAAATGCTTTCAGATAATCATTAGTCCACATACCAGTAATTCAAAGAAGAGATGGAGTTGTAAAGTGCTTTTATAATACAATATTATTGTTAAAGGCAAGGGTTGACTCTTTTGTTTTATTTTGACATGGCATGTCCTGAAATAAATATCAATTCAATATGGCAGATGGGTCATATTCTTTATTTGGAAAAAGTTGTGATTTCTGATATGGGGGTGATTGTCTTCCTACATTGTAGTATTTGAATCTTTTTATGTATCTTTAAGACTAGTAACCAGTTATGGAGCTTTTAATATTGGGTATTTTTATTTGGCTTGGGGTTCTTCAACTGAAGCAGTGAAGTGTGTTCACAGACCAGATTTTTTTTTTAAATAAATACAATTTTGATGCCAATATATATATAAATAAAACAAAAAAGAAAACAATTATTGACTTGGTTTCCCATTCCTGCCAAGGTGGTAAATTAACATGTGTTTCTTACTCCCTTCCTAGAACTGTAAATGTGAACATAGAATCCAGAAAAATAACAAAACCTCAACAAAAGTGAGAAACCCCTGGGAAGTCAGAAGACTCTTTTCGACTGTTAAGGGTGAGGGAGAGTGGCTGCAACTTGAGAAATAGGGTCACTGGTGGAGGCAAAAATAGGATGTATTAAGAAAAGTAGTTTAAGTTCTGCTTTTGCCTCCTCACTCCTAATCACACCTTTGCCTTGGGAAGGTGAAGGCAACCTACTCCCCTCCCACTAAATCCAGCTTGCTACCTGTTTTTTAGATTAAGTTTTATTGGAACTCAGCCATACTGTCTCACTACAAAGAGTTGAATAGTTGTGACAGACCTTATAGCCCCAAAAGCTAAAAATATTTACTATCTGGCCCTTTACAGAAAAAAGGGCTGACCCCTGCCTTGGGGACAAACATAGCTGTCCCCCTTGTTACAGAAACGGAGGCCATAGGCCATACTATGGGGCAGGTGTCCACAGGGGTAATATGAGGGCAGGATAAAATCCCTGATAAGCGAGTTGATGAAATGACCTGCCTGCCTTATGCTTTAGGCCTGTCACGTACTCTACATTTTCTCTTTCAAACCATCATTTAGTGGACTGTAATCTAGGGAGAGTGTCTCCTACAAGAACTGCTTCTTCCAAAACTGGGTTTCAAGGCTTATTTTTCTTAGCTTAATGTTTTCAGTGTTCATCCATGTTATACCATGTTTCAGAATTTCATTCCTTTTTATGGCTGAACAATATTCCATTGTATGTATATACCAAATTTGTTTACTCATCTCTTGATGGACATGGGTTTCCACCTTTTGCTATTTTAAGTAATGCTGCTATGAACATTGGTGTACAAGTATCTGGTTGAGTTACTGTTTTCAATTTTTTCTTAGTATATATGTACCTGGAAGGGGAATTGGTGAAGCATATGGTAATTCTGTGTTTAACTTTTGAAGACATGCCAAACTGCTTTTCACAGCAGCTGCACCATTTTACATCCACACCAGCAGTGTATGAGGGTTCCAATTTCTCCACATCCTCACCAACACTTTTTACGTTTGATTTTTTTTTTTTTACAATAGCCATTCTAATGGGTATGTAGTGGTCATCTTTCTCATTGTGGTTTTCATTTTTGTATTTTCTAATGACATGATGTTGAACACCTTGTTATTGGCCATTTGTATATCTTCTTTGGAGAAATGTCTATTCAAGTCCTTTGCCCATTTTTAAGTTGGGTTGTTTATTTTGTTGTTCAGTTATAGTTCTTTATATATTTAGATATATGGATTTATAAATATTCCCTCCCATTTTGTGGGTTGTCTTTTCACTGTCTTAACAGTGTCCTTTGATGCACAAAAGTTTTAAATTTTAATCAAGTCCAATTTTTCATTTTTTACCTGTGCTTTTGGTGTCATATTCAATAAATTATTGCCAAATACAATGTTATGGAGATTTTCTCCAGTCTTATTATAAGAGTTTTATAATTTTAGCTCTTTAAGTTTAGCTTTCTGATCCATTTTGAGTTAATTTTGTATCTGATATAAGATAAGGGTCCAACTTTATTCTTTCGCATGTTGATATCTAGTTTTCAGCAACATTTTTTGAAAAGACTGTTCTTTCTCTATTGAATTGTCTTGGCACCCTTGTTGAAAATCAATTGACCATGTATGAGAGGGTTTATTTCTGGGTGTCTATATCGTTGGTCTATATATCTGTCCTTATGGCATTACCACACAGTTTTGATTGCTGTAGCTTTATACAGGCGTACCTTGTTTTATCGCGCTTCGCAGATACAGTACTTTTACAAATTGAACGTTTGTGGCAACCCTGCATCGATCAAGTCTGTCGGCACCATTTTTCCCACATTTATTCACTTTGTGTCTCTGTGCCACATTTTGGTACTTCTTTGCAATATTTCAAACTTTTTCATTATTTGTTATCGTGATCTGTGATCGGTGATCTTTGATGTTACTATTTTAATTGTTTTGGGGCACCACAAACCATGCTCATATAAGATGGCAAACTTAATAAATGTGTGTGTTGATTGCTCCACCAACTGGCCATTCCCCTATCTCTCTCCCTCTTCTTGGGCCTCCCTATTCCCTGAGACACAACAATATTGAAATTAGGCCACAGGTAATAACCCTACAATGGCCTCTAAGTGTTCAAGTGAAAGAGTTGCATGTCTGTCACTTTAAATCAAACACTAGATTAAACTTAATGAGGAAGGCCTGTTGAAAGCAGAGATAGGCCAAAAGCTAGGTCTCTTGTACCAAACAGCCAAATTGTGAATGCAAAGGAAAAGCTCCTGAAGGAAATTAAAAGTGTACTCTAGTGAACACAAATGACAAGAAAACGAAACAGCATTATTGCTGATATGGAAGAAGTTTTAGGGGTTTGGATAAAAGATGAAACCAGCTACAACATTCCCTTAAGCCAAAGCCTGATCCAGAATAAAGCCGTAACCTCTCTTCAAGTCTGTGAAGGCCGAGAGGTGGGGAAGCTGCAGAAGAAAAGTATGAAGCTAGCAGAGGTTCTTGAGGTTTAAGGAAAGAAAGAAGCTGTCTCCAAAACATAAAAGGTGCAAGGTGAAGCAGAAATGTGCTGATGTACAAGCTGCAGCAAGTTATCCAGAAGATCCAGCTAAGATAATGAAGATGGCTACACTAAACAACAGGTTTTCAATGTAGACGAAACAGCCTTATATTGGAAGAAGATGCTATGTAGGATTTTCATAGCTACAGAGAAGTCAATGCCTGCTTCAAAGCTTCAAAGGACAGGCTGACCCTCTTGTTAGGAGCTAATACAGCTGGTGACTTTAACTTGAAACCAATGCTCATTTGCCATCTGAAAACCCTAGGGCCCTTAAGAATTACGCTAACTCTACTCCTTAGAGTAGATTTACAGCTGTATCTACATGTAGCACTGCTACCATCCTAGTAATGTATTGACTTTATGAAATGCCCCTTTTCTGATAATTTTTGTCTTGAAGTCTGTTTTGTCAGATATTAAAATAATAACTTCAACTTCCTGATGTGTACTCTTTATATGGTATATCTTTTTCTGTCCTCCTACTTTCAACCTACTTGTGTATTTTAAAGTATGTCTTTTGTACACAGCATCTTGTTGGGTCTTGCTTGTTCATTCATCCTGACAGTCTAATCTCTGTCTCTTAATTTGTGCTTTTTGTCCACTTACGTTTAATGTAATTATTAATATTTTTGGATTTAGGTCTGCCATTTTTGTGTTTTCTCTTTGCCACATCTGTTTTTAAATTCCTGTGTTGGCCTCAGCCATTAAAAAAAAAATGAAATCTTACTATTTGTGACAACATGGATGGATTTGGAGGGTAAGTGATCCTTATGCTAAGTGAAATAAGTCAGGGAGAAAGACAAATAAATACCATATGATCTCACTTATATATGGAATCTAAAAAACAAAATAAAACAAACAGACTCATAGATACAGAGAACAAACTGATGATTACCAGATGGGAGGAGGGGTGGCGGTAGGGGGCTAGGTGAAAAAGGTGAAGGGATTAAGAAGTACAAATTGGTAGTTACAAAATAGTCATTGGGATGTAAAGTACAGCATAGGGAATATAGCCTATAATATTGTAATAACTGTATAGTGTCAGGCGGGTACTAGACTATTGGGGGATCACTTTATAAATTACATAAATGTCTAACCACTACGCTGTACACATGAAAACATGAAACATAATGTCAACTGTAATTGAAAAATAAAAAAAGTAAAACAAATTTTTCTGTTGGCTTTTTTAGCTTAACCTCTGCATTCTGTTTTCAGTGGTTGTATTAGGGACTCCACTGTGCATCTTTGACTTATCAGCATATACTTGTTATAATAATACTGTACTACTTCACATAAGGTACAGGAAACTTGCCATAGTATAACTATTTTACCTTCCCCTCACCCCACTCATCCTCTGACGTTTTTTTGATTCATCCATAATTCTGTGTATACTTAGGGATAATATTGTACTACTCTTAGAATAGTATTACATTTTGTGAACGGAATATACCAGTGGATCCACCTACTCTAGAATTTGAGGTTTTCCAGTGCTTCTATGAGACTTTTGTACTTGTTATTTTTTGGTGAACATATATACACATTTCTGTTGAGTGTACCTAGGAGTCGAATTGATGGGTTATGAGGTGTGCCTGTGTTGGGTTCTACTGATCAGTTTCTAAAGCAGTTGTACCAGTTTACACTCACATGAGATTTCCAGCTCCACATCAGTACTTAATGTTGTCTTTTTTTTTTTTTCACCTTTAGTCATTTAGGTGGGTGTGTAGTAACATGTTTTAACTCAAAACTTTGTAAAAACATTGTGCTGACCAAACAAACAATGTGTGGGCCAGATGTGGTCCATGGGGCAACTCTGCATTAGACTGTTGTCTGTGAGGATTGTTTCTCTTAAAG